AAATTTTTCAAACAGCCGTAGTCTGTAAACTGCATACATGCTGGGTTGTGATTGGCTCATGTATTTAATTAAGGACTCGTACAACATGAAATTCGTAAAAAACGGAACGTATCTACTGTGTTATAGGGTTGTCTACTGTATATAAAATTACTTGTTCTGATATACTGACTGACTGATTGATTCATCATTGCCCAGAGCAAACCACTGAACCTCAAGAAGTGAGTTTTAGTACACAGATTTCATCATGAGAATGCAGAATAAAAAAGTATTTTTGGAAATTTTTTCCATGGAGTTGGAGAGCATTAAGTCTTAACCTAAAGAGAGGCATTTACTGTACTATTTTAAATGAGATTTTTTGTTTTCAACTACGTTTAGTTTTTATTGAGTAATTAGGTGTATTAAATTGATAACATTTCAGACATTGTTATAAATATTTTTATATATTTCGATTTTTTAACCAAATGTTCGAACTGTTTTAAATTTGAATTTAAAACGGTTCGAATATTTGCATAATGATTCGATTATTGAACGATTGTAAACGTTACTTAAATTGATAAGGTTAAAAACGTTCATTTGAAGCTGTAAAATAATTCTCAGCAATAAGGGGTATATATTAGCCTATATAACAATTACTATGGTTGATTACTATGGTTGTCAAAGATTACTGTGTGAGACTACGGACGATGTTTTTATTTTTCACTAACTGCGTAGTTAGTGAGAGTGACTTTCGTCGTCTGAAGGTCATCGACGAGGGACCACGATGTCACGTGAACCCCCATACGTCGACAGCGACCGGACGAAAAAAATGACCAAATAAGGTCAGTCATCTCCCTAGGTGATGACGAATTAAACATTAATTGGTCAAGCGATGTCTGCATTGTCGTCACCCACGACGGGGGAGACTGTCATAAATCTGGAGAACTGTCAAAAGAGTAGCAGATTTTCCCACGCTATAGAGTATAAAAAGGGGTCAGATTTTCTACTCCGGGCGCTTGGCTGAGGAGCTAACGCCGAAGAAGCCCTCTTAGGACCGCTCATAATCGACGCTCCATGAAAAGGTAAAGACTTTGCACATATTTTAATCTCTCCGTATACGATGGAATTACTCCTCGGAGATGTTATTCGAAACAACCTCCGAAGAACTTAATCAAGGAAGAACTCTACATATTGGGAGCGACGGAGCATACACCGTAACCGGACATAGCCGCACGGCCTGAGAAGGACATCACTCCACATAGCCTTCAAAGGACACCTCAGAATACAAGACGACGATCACAGAGTGTTTTATCAACGCCCTATAACGTGATAACGTTTCCTACAAGGTAAACCCTTGCATTATAATTTGTCTCTCTCCAACGTGAGCTCTCTCTCGAAGTCTAGCGTTAGGTTAGAATAGGTTCTAGAAATATATTTATTTATATCTTAACGCGCGGGTTATATTTATTATCTTATGTATAATTTCTTAGTTGTTTATTAAATGTGTTCGTTAATTTAAACCTGTGTAGTCTTTGGACACCTGATTACGACTTCCGACTCCTCCCCACTCATATTTTTAGCCCTCCTATTGCCATCCGACAACCGAGAGCGGGTCTTCCCGACCCGTGCAGATTAAGTGGTCATTAGGGTTCGACCCAGTGACCCCCTGCTACTCACAACTGTTGATAGTAATAACTTAATTTCCAAAAGTACAATATTTACCAAATTATCCAAATCATTTGCCCAAGTAATGCCAGGATTATTTAGTAGTTAGTGTATATACTTCATGATAATTCTAATGTTGTCAATGATATGATGAAAAATTAAATAAATTTGAAGAAGAAAAAGAAAAAGAAAATTAAAATATAACCAAACTCTATCACAACTTTATATTTTTATAATTCAAACTGTATCAGATATTTACATTAAATTCCTAAACGAGTTGTGGAGAATTTCAAAAGATCGTCTTATTAATTCTGGTTCTCTTTGAAATACATTTACTGGAAGTAACTGAATTTTTAGAAACTGTAATTAATATATATGTTCAGACGACCTCACCCTACATTACCACTAACATGGCTCAATTTAAAAATTCAACTTAATGGTGTACTTCAATGACAACTAGCAAACAGTTGTTGGCACGCACTTTGAACACTTTGAATTTAATGTTTGTATGATCCAATGTTCTTACTCCTGTTAACTGTTTCAGTAAAGATATTAAAGATGGTGTGTGTATGAAACGCGAGTATCAGAAACTGTAAATCCTGAATGGCGAAATATAAAAGCCTATCAAACAGTAACATGAACTGTGATTTCTTGTGTACAAGATTCAACAAGAAAACAAAAACACAAGCTCGATTTTGTTAATTGAGAGAAGTATGAATAATTTTTTCGAGTTACCTCTAAACGAATGTGTTTATGTATTTTGACATATAAGGTCATAGAGTAAGTTTTTGTTTATATATATTATTCTGGTCTAAAACATTGCTTTATTTTCTCGCGTTTTTTTAACTCCCTGAGAAAATAAAATGGTAACTTTCAAATTTTTTTACCGTTTTTTTTGTTTTGTGAGGACTTTAACGAAACCAAAATTCAACCTTCAGTAGCAGCTATATCACAAACTACTTAATTAATTAAAGCTTGAGATGAAAAGCACGGAAATCTGCTTAGCATACAAGAAAGTTTAAGTTACGGAACCATTCAAAGTTTGCATAAGACGTCGTGAAATGTTTTAATTACTTTTGACCAAAAAAATATATAATGCAAAAATTTAGACTTCTTCTAGACCATAAGTGTAACTATAGTCTATGCATAACAACGTCAGAAATAACTTACTTTGTGTTAGTAGGAACAGGAAAAATTTATTGATCCATTTCTATAAATCTTCAGTTTATGAAGAAATTTCTCACTACGTTCTGTTGTGTTGTTCTGCAATTTCTGTTTCTTCATTATAGTCAAATCACTTGAGAAATTAAACTGGATTTGCGTTCAATGTTTAAATACAACGTTTTATATTATGATTTAAGCATGATAATGAATTTACCGTGAAATGGTTAAACCCCCGTTATTAAAAAAAATTTATTTAATTTTGTGCTTTCTTGGAATAAAATATTTCTAACACACAATTATGTTACTATTCTCTTAAATACATAGATCTTGTACAAATTTTCTAAGAAATAACTATATTTGAAATTTCAACAATACTTGTAACTACAGTAAGACCTCATTTAACGCTACCTCGATTGGCTGATTCGATATAACGCGGTCTGCTCGAAGTCTGAAATAAGGTCAAAATTTACATTGATTCAAATTATCGCTGAATTTTATTGATTTATATATAAAACGATTATTTCCGAACACGAACCATTTATCAAAATGTGGCAATTTGTTGTAGCGCTGTACTTTAATTAAATTTATGTTTGTTTGGTCCAATTTTCGAAAAAATACAACATCATGAATGTCATAGGAAAGCGATTTCCAAAGTATGCGCCACGGCTTCCTCACAGGGGTGCCGTAAAAAAGTACTATAAGATGTTCATAATTTTACTTCCACTTTCAATTCAATGTGATAAGAAGTGACTTCTAGCAGACCTGGTGCAAATGCATTGGTACTGATGGTATTTATTAATTTAAAAAGTATTGGCTATTTTGCAGATTTTACTTTTTAGAATTTGCCATAGGTTGCCTTGAGAAAATCTGGATTTAGCAAGGGTGCCGAAAATTAAAAAAAGTTTGGGAACTTCTGCCATAGTCGATATCGACTTCGCTTGGGAAGAGTTAACTAATAAATGAATGAACGAAGTGTGGAAGAAGTTATGGATGAAGGTATTTAAAAATACTCAACGAGAATAGTCTATCGCTGTATAGTTAAGTTGAGCAAATTATCATCCTAATGGATACAGCAGGACTAGGAAATGTAGATGAGCAGGATAATGAGAGCTATTGAAGGTTTCAGGTGACAGCCTTACCAACGACAACCGTTAAGAACTGGCACAACAAGGAATTAATATAGAACTGGTGACTCTGAAAATAAAGAATTAAAAGAAATCCTCTACAGATTTTCTTAGAAAACGTTTGGTAATGATAATCGAAATCGTCAATCAAATTGTAGCGAATGATCCAGATTTTGAAAGGAGTGCAAAAACAAGACGACGCGTTTGGGTTGCAATTACATGTTACTGACATTTGTTTAAGGAAAGAAAAAAAAAGTAACAAATGAAACTCATAACCTTATCGGAAAAAACAAGAATTTCAAAAAAGCCAAGAACTTCACAAAATGTGAACTTTAAATTTTTGTGTGCATATCTTTATGTGTTTTTTAACGAATATTATTTTACAAATTAATATAAAATTAAGATAAAATTAAAGTAAAATCTGTTTATTTTTTCTGCGTGTTTTCCTTTCCCTATTTACTCTGTATTAAAATGATTTTTGTTTAACGCTGTTTCGTTTAGCACTTTGTCCTTTCGGAATGTATATCCCATGCAAAGCTGGTTGTTACTGTACTTGTTACATTCTATGTAAAAACATTAATGTTTTTTATTTAAATCAAGGATAATCCACTTTTTCATGTATAGTCGCAGAAAATCTGTAATTATAGATTTACCGTAACGTATATTTTGAAATCGTTTTGAAATAAGTGAACAGAATACAAATTATCCTTTATTCAATTGTTCTGTAATTTTTTTTATAAACTTTTAAAATCTGTTATTGTAAGTGATAGACTGGCTGTTGTCAATTATGATAATAAAACACTAGATTTAATGGTGACCAAAAAAAGTTCTGACATAAGTAAGTCTATCTTCATAATTACAGAAATAATACATTATTGTTTCACTCTAGTTTTAAAAAATTCTTTAACTTATGAAATTAAGCAATTGTTCATAATGTTTTGCAATCTAACTCGGCATGATAAAATAGTGTTTTTACTTATCTTTTCATATCTGTATACAGAATTTTGTCGCTATTACTCTGCACGCGATTAAGTTAAATACAAGACACTCTTCTACATTCAAAATACTTACACTTTCCTTCCAGATGTTTTATGCTTTTCAACACTCGGCTGAAAATTGTCCAGAAAGCGTAGAGTATTACTGAAAGGACAGCAATTAATACAAGTAGATAAGGATAGACAATAGCTTGAACAATACACGTGCAAACAAGAATTAAGCCTCCCTAAAATTAAAAAAATATAAATTGCTAATAAATAGTTTGAGATCTTAAAACTTAAGTTTTATAAGTAAAGTATAAAATAATAATTTTCCAAGTATTTAAAAGAGTCACCTCTTTGTTCAAAAATTTATACTGGTGTATCACAAGTCTGGAACAATAGGTATTATGTATAACTGTTATTTTTAGAGGTAACATGGCAATTAACAATGAAAAAATGATTTTAATTATTTTCGCGTTAAAGACCCGCTATCGCTGAGATGTTCCAAAGTTTTGGTTTTCATTTTCTTTGGGAATAGAATATCATTTTTTCGGGATATTTACGTATTTTGTAACATTAAATAAGTAAAAAGAGAGTTTAACATGCTGCATCCAGATCAATGTGTGCCACTAGTTGTAATATCTAGATGTAGTGTGTAAAATCTACAAAAATGTCTTGCTGTTTTTCGGGTTTCCAGAATAAAAATTATGATAAAATTTAAGTACTAAGATCTTTATTTTCACATCTCTGATATATATAACAGGGGAAAGATACGGCAATCGGTCAATAATTTAGGCACTCTTCAGACATTTAGATTTTTAGATTCAGGGAATCTTAAAATGCCAAGAAATGCAAAAAAATTCGAAATTTGTTTCTGTATGTATGGCTGTGTGTGTATGACACTATTTTGTTCATTATCCTTGAAGCTTAATAACTCCTCTGCTTTTTGTCAAACATTTTTGAAATTTTCAGGGAGGTTTGTTTATTGTAGGAACGATGCTACTAAATTTTAATGGCTAACGTTTGAGGGAGAAGGCAGATAAAGAGACATCGTGTTTTCTAGATCTAGTAGCTTCGCAATTTAATGACGAATTTACTCGTCATTAACTTGCAAATATAAACTTAATGACTGTCCATAGAATTAAGGTTTTTGATATCTTATAATAATAAACAATACAACATTTTTTAAAACGATATATTATAAAACAGAAGGCAAAACATGCAAGTATAGAGGTTGCCAAGAAAGTGAAGTACCCGTTATTGTATTCTTATTAATCTTCCACGTTTAAAAGAATAAACCAACAGCAACATAAATCCTATGGTTCCATACTTATGGTAGATTTTATATTAAACTTCTTATATTAAATACAGTATTTTATTCAGTGTTTCATAAAAATTGTTTAAGTAAAAACACGATAAAAATTGCATTTACTTAAAAATATATTCCTAGAATCATANAAAAACAAGATAAAAATTGCATTTGCTTCAAAATATATTCTTAGAATTATACAAATTTATTTTAAAAAATAAATTATTAACAAGAGAGCAACAAAGCATTTGTCAGAATACGTTTGTATTAACAGTAGACCCCTATAAAACAGTTTTACATAATGCGGACTCGTATATCGCGGCGAAAAAATTGCGACCGTATTCGTATAAAGAAGATAAAAGAAACTCGTAAAATGCTGTAAAACGTCATCGCCGACTCGTGTCGCGACAGGATTGGTCGAATCTCTACCAATAGCGGATATTGCACAAACTGTTGAGTTTAAACGAGCAACAAACCTACAAAAATTCTTTATTATTTAACGTCCATAAAAATTATATTTATATTAATGATGTCTCCAAAGTTTAGCTAATTTTTCGCAGAAAAATAATTTATTAGGAAACACGCGCTCCGCTCCACGAAGAAAACAAGTTTAAGCAATGGCGTCGTCAAACGGTGCACACTGGGTAAGTAATTCTACAATTTTTTGTTTATAGTATAGTTTATATAGATTATTTACCAAAAAAATTACGTGTTTTGGAAATGTTGAATCGAATTAGTCTAGAATTGATTAATTTTATGGAAGAAAAGCTTTCAAATAGCCGTAGTCCCTAGACTGCACACGTGCCGGGCTGTGATTGGCAAGGTCAGTAAAACATCAATTTCATAAAAAACAGAACGTATCTACCGTGTTATAGGGGGGTCGACTGTAATAAGATTGTAAAAATCTTAATCTAAAAATTTACAATATTATTTCGTATTATGTTTTGTTTAAAAAGCAAAAATTATCTTTTAAGTTAAAAGTTTGATCTAAGTTCATTTTAAAAAAAAATCTCCACTCAATTGGATGCATTTTGTTTTTGTTGTTGTTGCTGCTGTTATTCTATGCATTTTCCAGCAAACTTTAATAATTTTTTTTTATTTGTGAAAATTTCTACGTAATTCAAAGGTAATTTTTAATATTTATCTTACACAGCATTATTATGATTTTGGAGGTTTCAAAACGTATTAAATTACTTTAAAAATTAAAAATTATTATTTCATTTGATTTCATGATATTTTGAATATCTTAAAAATAATTAATTTTGGGGAAGTGGAATGTGAAGATAAAAGTGAACTGTTTCCAGAGATTCCAGGAAATTCCAGGAAACAGTTCACTTTTATCCTGGAATCCCGGGTCAAGCAAAAGACCGGGAAATGAAAAACCCTAGCTGTTATACATAAGGCATAACTGTCACTGTCTTAGATTCAGTAGTACGTGTGCAGTGATAGTTGCAGAAAGTTTTTTATTATGAAAGTATAGTCCAAGATAAAGTGCAAACGATCATTCGAGTTTGGCAAACAAAGATTTTATCGAATTTCATCAAAATGATCGAAGAAACAGGTTGTCAAAAACAGTTAAACTGCCTAGTACAATGAAAGTTCATATACGAAACTGAAACATTCCCAGAGTTTATAATGAAAGTAGCTTACGGTGCATATTATATTTGTTGTATTTGAGGTTTCTGAAACAAAACAGCGTGTCTGAAAATCACAAACATACCTTTGTACCTGGCCATCACTTTTCGTGTTCATTACTTTTTATAAATTTATTTTACATAAATTTAAATATACAGAATTGAAGAGCAAACAGTTATCCGCTTAATTTTCCATTGCGATAGATACACGGACATTAGAAATAGTTTAATGAGAGCGAAAATTATGGAAGAATACATCTAGCCATGCATACCACAGAAATTCATCTAGAAACGTAAAATATACCATCACTTCTTTTCATTCATTTCCCACAGCAAAGCTCTTGTGGATGCTCTCCCCAATGGCACACACAACAAATATGTTTCCTTGCTCACATTGTATTGTTTCAGTTCAATTAATTAAGCAGCTAGTTCTTTTGTGTTGTGTCTCTTGTTTCTTTAGTGATCGGGTCCTGTTTTGTCTATCATACATTGTTTTTCATATTGTCTTTATTCTACTTATATGTAACAATATTAAAAAGTTTTCAAATTTAAAAAATTTGGCGACTTCTTTATAAGTCATTCGTCACTGCTTGTCTGGTTGTTCCTTCTTAGTATTATTGATTAGCATGAAGTTAAGTTTAAATTAGTATAACTAGTTTTAAGTTAGAATTAAGAGAGCTAAAGGTTAAGTAACTTAAATTCTACTGTATTCATTCTTTTTCCATGTTGTTTCAATTAAGTTATTTTGCTTTTTACAGAGCTTGCTAGATTAATATCTGTATTATTTTAGCTTTAAGCATTAACCTTTAATTTGTGTAGCTTTTATGTAGCTGCACTACTTATTTACGATGTATGCTACAATTCAACATTTTTAGACCCATAGCCGCACACCAACAATAATTGTAGTAGAAATCACCTTACGTACACTGATCATAGGGTTTCTTTTTTTTCTATTTCTTTACCTTTATCCCCTTCTCCTTTTCTTACTCCAACTAAACACTTTTATACTGTCGGTGTGCTTCGTTAGCATAAAGTATTCAAAATGAACTTACCCTTATACATAAATAAGTAAAGGAAGGAATCATCTCATCCATACTACTAACATCTTTAGAAAATCGATTTAAGATTTTTCCTGAAAAACATAAAAATGAAAAATATTAATTGAATTAAATAATTATGGAAAACAAATTTCGATATGATTATCATTTATAGGAATATCCCGCAGTATATGTCTACGAATAACGTTTTTCGGAATTCTTACAACTAAATTATTGTACATGGTACATTTTTAACCCCACAATGATTTCAGGAATAGAAAATGCGGTTTTCATAGTATGAAGCTACATGATTTTTCTAAATTAATAACTATATTTACTTTTAATTATCGGTAAGCTATAGTTTTTTTATATCCTAATTCTTTTTCAAAAAAATAAAACATTAGATACACTCTGGCAAAATATATATAATAACTTGTCTGTATAAAAATGCATTATGTATATGTTAATAATTGAAATTCATAAATCGAAAATTTATATTATTCAAAAATAATAAATTATGAAGTTTAAAACTATGATGTAACAATTTTGAACTATAACGAAAATAATCAAAACAATTTTTTCTTCCTTTTAGTCCTATGCGCTTCAGACAGCGTGGTGATATTACGAATTGACAGCTTTAATTGCATCTTTCCACTGCTCATAGTGTTATGCCATTTGGATAGCTTCATACATTGTATGTCCTGTAATCATCATTACTTGTTCTGGCCACCTAATTCAACATCTGCTTCTAGGGCATTTGCCATTGATCTTCCCTTCTAGAATTTGTTTCTCAAATCCATTTTTGCATCTGGAAATATGTCTCAAGAAGCGAAAGTAAAATTGGTATATTTTAGTATTAAGGCCTGTCGTGATTTTTTGTTGATTTATAATGGGGCAATTTGTTCACTGCTCTGTCCAAGAGATTCTCAGCATTTTTCTATATATCCATATTTAAGAAAAATTAAGTTTCTTCCGAGAAAGGTCTAGCTTTATAAGGCATAAGTGGCAATCTGAAAAATAAGCGTTCTTATGAAATTTAGTTTATTAAAAATTTAGAAGTTAAATAGTTTAGAGATTGCATTGCAAGCGAGGCAAATTCTGCATTTAATATCATTATCGCATCCTCCGTTATTCGTAACAAGTGATCCAAGGTAAATAAATTTATTCACCACCCTACAGCCTGCAATTTTCTTAGTCTGCGTTAAAGAACGATCGATTCTGATAACTTTCATTTTACTTCCATTAATCAGCAATCTATACTTCCTGCTCTCAGTTTCCAGAGTTTTCATAACATATTCAAGTTCTGATTCACTGGATGCTATAATAAGTGTGAGATCGGACTTGGAAAGGGGAAAATCCCACAATTGTATTCGGGAATTTTTCGAAAGAAAATTCATTTTTCGGTTTGAAAAGGAAATTTATTTAAATCTCAGAGAGAAAAAAACTTTTTCCATTTTATTACCGGAGAGTGAGTGCAATTCTCTTCCCGGAGTCGTTTCCTCTCCCAGGGAACTCAGAATGTGTCACTGAGAACTACAACAAAAAATTCACTATTGGTATAAAAACGACAACGTGACTTGGAAATAAAGAGGAGACCTCAAGGAACAGTGAGAGGGGTCGAGAGTCCGCGAGAATATTCCGTGTGTGCCAGCCGAAAGGATTTATCATCATCACTGATCACCGCGCGCCCCTCCCGAATATCCTGTGATTCTCCGGGAACACCTACGAAGAACTAACGGATCTCAACTTTCGATTGACTTTAACCGCCATCCAAGGCAACAGAGACATTCCCAAGCCTCCTTTTCAACTTCGCAGACACCTGAAAATCTGTACATAGTGATTCAGGTATTTATAACGACCCGCGATGTAATGTAAGCTCGCTCTCCAACTCGGTTCTCGCAAAGAAGCTTTAGAAAAAATACCCTTTTGTAGAACTAGTTTAATAAACGAATGTTGTTATTGTTAGAATTGTGTTGGGTGAACTTCCTCAAGCAGTCTCTATCCCAAGTCCAACCACCCACAGACGCGACTGCTCGCGCGTAAATGCGAACATAACGGTCTCTGTGTCTACCCAAAAGACACAGTGGTGTCAGTCCTGATAAATTTGTCATTGCAGTTTTCGCCGACGTAATGTCGATCACTTCGTCCTGTGGTGCCGAAGCATAGAGGGGGACCTTCGGCATTGTCACATAACTATATCGTCAGCGTATCTCAGGTTGTTAACTTTACGGCCTCTGATGGAAATGCCTCTGTCTCAGTTATCTAATACCCTTCTCATGATTATTTCAGAATAAGCATTAAAGAGTAAATAGGAAAGAATATATCCCTGTCTTACACCAGCTTCAGATATAAATGTATTAGACATAGTTTTGTTAACTCTTACTCTTGCAGAGTTGTTCTAATATAAATTTCTGATCATCGAAATAAGATGGCGCAGGATTTTCATGTCTCTATAATCTTACATTCCATGTACCTAAGGATAAATTTCTTTTTAGATGTAATTTTAAATTTCTTCCAGATTCATAATTCGTATGTAGTGCCTGGTTGCCTATATCCACAAGCCTGGTAGCCTATTACTACAGTGACCATACGTCCTTTATTTAAGAGGACAGTCCTTTATTTAGCTGCTCTGTCCTCTAACTTTATTCATTTTATAAAATAGGCATTTTGTCCTTTATTTTCTAAATTTGACGCCAAGTTTAAAAAATTTTTTAATAATATATTGAACAAGTTGCCCCCATACAAAGTCAAAGCACGATTCGAAAAAGCTACTGTTATCATCAACATGCCCCACCAAGAGCATCTCAGGTGGTTAGAGGCTACAGCTATCTAAAACGCTGGCCAGCTAACCACGTGCGTTAACCAGAAGGAAGAACTGACTCTGTCTCTGCCTGGCAATCACTGTTGGATGCCAACCTGCCACTTCCTCCCCCACCACAAGACTGTGCATGTCAGAAAGGACCCACTCTGTCAGAATTGACACCCGATCCCAACAAATAGAATACACTCTGTCCAGGGAATTCCAGTCGACCTTAAGAAAAGCAAAGAGATTGCTCGAAAACGTTTGTCAACAGCGATATACAGTATATACGCATCACACACCGGTTACAAGTTCCGGATAGTGTATAAATTTGCGAATTTTATAAGGTATTTTTTTCATTTTCTTTCTTCGATATGTCCTTTATTTTCCCCCAAAAATATGGTCACCGTACCTATTACACAACAAATGATCCAGAATCAGTTTGGCGCCGGTTGCTGACCGGATGACCATGCACTTTCATCCATCCTTCATTGCTCATCATCATCATAATATTCTCATGAAAAAATAATCAGGAGGTTTGCCGTTTCCTGTCTGATTCTTAATACATACTACGTAAAACTGGATTAATTAAGTCCAACGCATTTAGATATATCAGAAATATCCAGCACAAATTGTACTTCTTAAAAATAATAAAAAATAAACGTTTTCGACGATGTTTTAATAGTTATGTTCAGTTTAAGCCAGTTGATCATCGACTAAAACTACTTTTCTTTAAAATTATATAAGCGCAAGTTATTTGAAATCTACATGAAGATGTAGTGAAAATGAAAAACATAAATTGTTCACAATCAGAAAAACATAAAAATTGATGCAACATTGTGCAGGAACTGGAAAAAATTTCAAAGAGAAATTTTGGAAGAAATCTGTTCCAAACAAACAGAAAACCGAAAATTAGTGTCTTCGTGTTCCAGAAAAACATTCTCGTTGTATCCATGTTTCAGGAAAGAAGAAATCTGCATTTTTGCCGTTTACTCTGCACCGAAAGAAATCTCTTGTCGCTGACACAAATAAAATAAAAATATGGTGAAAATTCTACTTATTTACAACATGACAAAAAGTTGTATTGGCATCTATTACCTCTGTTCAAATCATTTGTCTTTAAGGAAAACTCGACAATGATTTTTAGTAGTATTTTTCTCCTTGTAAACCTCGCTCGGTTCAATACACTTGTATGTCACACACAACATACATATATCTTGCATATTACGGAATTAGGCAGGCAAAATGAAACATTAACAGAAAATATTTCCTTAAGTCTGATTCTATTGAGATGACTCAACTCTACAGGACTAGCAAAACTACTATAACATTGGACTAAAGAGCTCAAATAAAAACTAAATTGAAAAGTTTCATTTAAAACCGTATCTATAAATCATCCATCTGCAGCTGGAACACAACGATGACACAGATGATACGTTTCGTTGAAAGTGAAACAAAAAACAGAGAAAAACTACCAAAAATTTTACATGCACAAATATGCATGTAAAATTTTTGGCATGGTATGGCATGGTAAATACAACATGGATAATTATGAAGGTGACTAAAATATTACACAGTTCACAATAAGAACAAAGTTCGTATTATGAAGAAATCCTTTTATGACGGCCTAGATTTGAAATTCAATTCTTATATGCACTTATTGGTAAGAATGGAGCAAGACTGAACCGTCTTCATTGTTCCTTAGTATAGTTTTAATTTATAGTGTTACAAAAACAGATTTTCTTTTCAGAATGCAGGTTTAACGGAATGAGAAAGCGAACTTTGTTTTATCTTGATTTTTTCAATATCTCATTCCGTCAAACTAACTTCAAAGACTATGCTTCAGATCAGGCATAGGTGGCCATCGAATTGTTTTACAGTCATGTGATTTTATAATTTCATTAATTATAATACTAAATTTAAAAATTTATCGTTTATCGTTAGTAAATATAAGTCAATGAGCCATTGAATAATTTACTTTAAACGGTCCATAAATAATTCTTTACATTTTATCATTTATGAATTGTATGTTAAATGTTTTTGTGGGCCATATTAAAAATCTGAATTAACAGGTTATACTACACTTTATCATCATTGAATTTTAGGTTTCCTCGAAAACTAAGGAAGTAGTTGAAACATTAACATCTTTCATCCCATAAATGTAGTTAAAGCTACTAATATTATATCAAACGACAATGGATCATCGAAATTCATACAAGTTCGGCGTAAATATTTAAAATGTTACATAAATCTGGTTGCGTAATTTTAGTTTTCAATTATAATTTTATAAATTTTTATTTCTCTCTTAACGTTTGTAATTACAATGGGTGATCAGTTAAAGAACAGTTCGGATAGAAAATATCTTACAGTACAAACATAAGAAGAAGCGACATATAATAATCAATCCGATTGGTCTTCAGGCAACAATTCGAAACTTTTTGGAGCTCGGGAAACGTCGACATCGACACTCAACCCGGCATATACTGCTTGGATATTATTTCTTCAAACTTTGAAACTTTCCCTTGTAATTCCAGCCTTTTATTTTTCTGACAGAAACAATTCTTTTATAGTGTTCGCGAGACTGTCGGGCGGGCACTCATTATTTTTCGTGGGAATTTATTTTCGAAAGGTGAGAATATAATAGCAAAGGTAGAGAGTGGGCAGAAGATGTCTGATGTTGCTGGGCAGTATGGCTTGAACAGGTCTACAGTAAGCCTCAGTTCAATCTTATTTAAGAAAGATACTGTGCAATCAAGAAGACTCAAGCAGCTGAAGGAGTAACGAAAATTACATACGAGAAATAAAGAACATTGAAGAACTCAGAATGGAACCTGAAACTGATCTGACGACAGAACTTCAAGAACTTTTCAACGAAGAATACCAAGAAACTCGGCAAGATATGTTTTCTTCTGAAAAAGAGGATTAATGCCGATATCTGCTATTAAACATATTTTGAAGAAGTGAGAGGATGTCAGAACAACAGGCTGACAATGGCATCCAAACAAGATTGAGGTTAATATGTTTGCGGATCTCTACAATTATAGTGCTATTAATTACTTCTGAAAAATTCTGAAGAAGAGAGAGAAGCAATCGACATTAGACAAATTCTTTAACTCCCTACAAATGGAATAAGCATGACTAATAAAAATTCAATACTGTGTATATATGTGTTTTTATTATTACATATAAATAAATGAAAGTATATATTTCTCATTTTTTAGGGTCTCCAAAACGAATTAATCAAATTCCCATAAAAACGTATGGAAAATCGATAATCGGTTAACGAACAATTCGGAACAAAGTCTTAGAACAGATTATGTTTGTTAAGTGATCCCACTGTATTTAACTGTTCATATTATAGTAAAGTAATTATATGAGTGTACTGTAATATACTGTATTAAACATAACGAATATCTGTGATACAACACATGAGAGTATAAACAGCATCCATAGTTAAGTAAGGCTATTAAAAATTTCTTTCGGTATTAAATAAATAAATAAAACATTTTACAATAAATTAACTAAAACATTTTACGTACCAACGGGATTGTTATCCAAAAATGCTATCGGAGTTCGAATGATACAACGAAACATATTGTTGTGAAGCTTAAAAGAAGCAATTGTCAAGAATTTATATAACAATAATCCGGAAGGTAACCACGTAAGAAATACAGCACATATTAATCCTATGTAAACATACATGTCGAAATATTTACTATGGTAAAAATTTTTGTTTTTAATTTCGTTAAAAAGGCTTCTATTAGATGTCATATTTTCGAGATTTTCTTCGTTTTGGCTATCGATTCTAATATTTTGCAGCCTGAAAATATAAAATAAAAATTAAACTTTCTGGCATTTTAATATGTGTTTGATAGTAAAATACAACTAAACAAATTCAGACTATTAAATAAAGGTAATACAGTATATATAAATAATGTTGAAATCTACCGAATAATGAAGTAGTCGGTATTCGGAATACAACAGTATATATACATGGAATGATTTATGAAAATCTAAGCAGAATTCTATAATTTATTTTGAAATTTATAGCTGTGATCGTCATCGTTATACATATGACTTTAATGCAGATTAAAATTATCTTGGAATCATTGAGAAACATTACCCACCAGTGTCATACCGTGACATTTGATCATAGGGAAGATGTGTTTCTGTAAAAAGCCGAATTCCAGCAGAAATCAGTTAATTCTTTAAATGTATTTATAATAGATTATTTATCTGACGTAATTAATAAATAAACAAGTTCAATATAATTACCTCTGTTATTAGTTTCAATAGATTCCTTCTGCCCTCTAAATGCCAATTCTCGCTTTCAATATTTATTTTACATTATTTACTAATGTTAAATTCTAATTCGCTTTGATTTCCAAATTGCGTCAAATACGAAGGAATCGATGATTTTTCGTGTCTTTTGCCAGCTAAATCGTCAAAGCCATTCTTATTCCAAACACTAATTTCATTTGAGAATACTAGGCGAGCCAACAAAACAATTTTTGCATTTTCATGCATTTACAGAGCCATTTTATCGTGATAACGTCAAACAAATTTTTTTATCGAAGTGTTTATATTTAGCATAGGCACTGGCCTTTCTCTTTTAATAATGTTTGCTTTTTTATTATAAGATTTTGAACCAAAACTTTTCTAAAATAAAGTTTCAATATCGCAATTACATTCTGAATCGCTAGCCACGATATAAGGGCTAAAATTAAAAATAAAATTATAAAAACTTACTTGGTGAAATAAAATGTGTGGTGGATATACATACCTGGTACAAAATATTCTTCAATTGTATGAATATACTTTTAAAGAAAATTATAATTAAATATAGCTTTGTAATGAAATGTACATAAAAATGAAAAAATATTCTTTACTCTTTAAATCTTAACCACTTAGTCAAATAGCTCCCTACGAGTGGAATCAGAGACAGTCCCGCTAGGTGTGCCGTGTGTACATGCACGCGGGCTGACAAATCCCGAGGGTGCCCATACCGGTCAATTTCAAATGCCTCTTTTGTCGCATCACTAATATACCTCAAAAGACGCGACAGGGTTGTTGTAAATTTTAAACGTTTCTCACCATAGCTGTAAAAATCTAAATTTGTTAAACTTGATAGTCATTTGTTTTCTAACAAATTCTTTTTAGGACCAGGTGTTTATGGAAATTTCCAAAATTTACAATTTTTTGGCCACTCTAGTTGAACTGGAAAAATTTCTTTTTTTATTACGTCTAATATTATGAAAAAATCAGTCCCCAATGTACTCGGCTGAAGATTGGTTCAATTAAGCTTTTAAGTAATATTTCAGCTCTTTCATCAGGGTTATATTTATGTCCCCAATTCCTTAATCGCTTAATTATTTAACTACTTCTTAAGTAGAAATAAGTTGAAAAACTGGTTACTTTGTACTCGAATATTTGTAGTCGTGGGAAAAAATGTAGAAAAACGAATTTTTATGACAACAAGTACCTAGAGCTTTTCCTGTTCCTCGTGCATCTCTCTCATTCGTTAAATTTAGTTCTAAATGACGCTGTCAAAGTAACAGTTAATTTTTTAACATTGTACAAGAATTGTACACGTTTTTTTCTGCATCCACTTATAGATGAGACATAATAAATCGCAATATCACTGGCTTAACATTTAAATCCGTGAGTAATATAAAATCGAAGAGCGGAATAAAAATATCAAATATTTTAATGGACTTTTTTAAACTTCTATCCACTATACAGAACTATCATACAAACATACCAGTCAATTCTTATCGGTTAGGTTAAGTTATGAAACTACTCGTGATTCACGTAATCGGGTGAGGGCGGCCAAATATCTAGCCGGCGGGCGGTTAACAGCCCAGAACCAGTCCTGGATAGAATTAGATGATGTATACCTGTGTAGCTTCCACCCAAAGTCCTAGGCTACCACCAGCTAAACTGGGTGAGGTTGGTGCTCTATAACGCGCATGCACAAATCTGGCTGTTTGAAAGCTTACAATACAGCGCTTCCACTTAGCCACTAATATTCGAATATACAATAGCAATCTTATTTTTTTTACGTGTAGTATAAAAATTTGTAATAAGATACATAATGATGTTATAATAAAATATTGTGCGATTATTTTCGTATAATTAAAATTAATATGTATTTAGTTTTTAGAAAATACTATAGAAACTGCGCTTCTACCGATTCCAATGACGGCATGCCACTGTTGCCTACACTTTGATATATTCCTATCTGCTAAAAAATCAGACGTTGGAATCTACTACTACAAAGCTTGACACTGAGACAAGATCTCATGTAAATCAAATAACTTTTTCTAATGTACTTATTTCTACCTGCCTGAATGATGCAGTACAGTAAAAATAAAATTGTTTGTTTGTTAAGTTATGGCAACGCAACAACTGGGCGATTTGACTAGGGGAATTGCCTTTCGGGAAATCGCTTTAGAGGAAACTAGCCCCTATTTAAGTGTTACAGAGAAAACCCGGAAAACTCCACGTGGCCAGCCTGTCCGAGCAATGCTCGAATCCACGACTGAACTCCCAGTGTTCAGAATACAAAGACAGCTTGGCCACTAGTGAGCTCGTGAAAATGAAATTATGTTTGATGTTTAGTGGAAAAAAATGTTTTAAATATTTTAATCATTCGAAAAACTTATTTCAGCAAAGTACTGAAGTAAGCATTTTTTCTGCTAACATTAAGTTTTAAGTTTAAATTTAAAAAATAAATTTATTTGTCTAGAACAGTGGTTTCCAATTAGTTTTTCCTGCGTACCACTTCAAAAAAGAGGTCAAACTCGCGTACCCCTTATAGCAGAAATTTATATTAATCCATACTAATATTATAAAATCGAAGGTAATTCTAACTGTCTGTCTGTTGCTTTTTCACGTCTAAACCACCGAACAGGTTTAATAAAATTTGGCACAGAGATAGCTTACATGTTGTAGATAGACATGGGCTATATTTTACAGCGAGAAAATATATTACTCCCACGAAAAAATTTGATATAATGCGGAGCGAAGTTGTGGGTAGACAGCTAGTGATAAATAGAATAAGTTTTTTTACATTTATTTATTACCTTAATACAATAATGATAGTATTTTAAAGGTAACTTAATACTGATTGTATTAAGTTACCTTTAAATTACCTTTATTTTTACATTTAAAATTACCTCTTTACCTTTAGAATACAATAATGAAAATAACATAAGGTTATTTAATTTTAATGTAACAAATGTGCACGATTTTCTTTTCACAAGTTGTTAAAATTCGGTTGCGTTTTGGTCAGCTTCAGTCTCGAGTTATCTTCGAGTTGAAGTCGGTGACGATGTTTGTCATGGCCGAAAATCCGCTCTCGCAGAGGTATGTTGTGCAAAATAGTAGTAAATATTTTATTGCCGCTTCGTTAACAATAATGATAATTGTACAAATGTACAATTATCATTATTATTATGTCAAAAATTGTACAACTAACACAAATTGTGTTAACTGTACAATTTTTGTTCTTGCGTAAGAATTTCATTTGGTTATTGTCACAAATGCATTTTTTGATGACATTTCGAGAATATTTTTAGTTATAAATAAACGAATTTGTGCATTCGACATCGTATTATAAATTACCGAATGTTTGATGGTCCACTCATTATTTTTTTGATTGCTTCATCTAATGCATTTAAATTTTAAATCGACCGATTTTAGATTGCCGCTCGTACCCCTTCACGCAATTTCGTGTACCCCTCGGGGTACGTTTACCACTAATTGGGAACTATTGGGCTAAGATATATATATTATTTTTTTTTTAACTCTAAAAATATGTATATATAAATATTCTTATTATAATTCATTGTATTGATTATATCTTATGTTTGAAAATTTTATTATGACGTTTATTTTGAATGCCACATAATACTGTAAGTTAAAATATTTATAAAATTATATATTTATTGCAATTGTTTGGTCATTGATAATACAGTATCTGAAACCAGTGCTAAATGCAATATGGCTTATGTAATATAACATTGTTTTAATTAAACGTTTTGTTTAAAAATCTGTTCATGTCTTAAAGTATGCTAACTTATAATAATATCATACCATTTGATTAGCCAGTAGTCGCTGGCGCTGGTAACGGATTGCGATATAATTAGCGTGGATAAAATAANCGTAGTTTATACGGATTATTTTCAAAAAAATATACGTATTTTGGAAATGTTGAGTCGAATTAGTCTAGAATCGATTAATTTTATGAAAGAAAACCTTTCAAACAGCCGTAGTCCGTAAACTATGATTCCTACAAAATTGATTCATAAAGAACGGAACGTATCTACCGTCTTATAGGGGGATCTACTGTATATATAAATATTTTTGAAAGGATTCATTGTATTGATTATACTTTATATTTGAAAATTTTATTGTGTCGTTTATTTTGAATGCCACAAAATACTGTAAGTTGAAATATTCATAAATAGAAAAATATACTTGTATATCTATTGCAATCGTTTGGTCATTGATAATACAGTATCTGAAACTAGTGCTAACTGAAATGTAACGTGCTTTGTAACATGCTAAATGAAATATGGCTTAAGTAATATAACTTTGTTGTAATTAAACATTTTATTTAAAAATCTGTTCATGTCTTAAAGTATGCTAAGTTATAATAATATCATACCATTTGAGTAGCCAGTAGTCGCTGGCACTTGTAACGGATAGCGATATTATTACCATAGACAAAATAACGATCTTGAAGTAAAGTCCTGCTCCGGCATTTACGTATGCTTTATACACTGAAATTTCCGGTTTCTTAACTTTTTCATTGTTGTGTGGTATTTTATTATCAGCTTCCTAAGAAAATAATTAAAATGTATATATAATTATAGATTGAATTTTTCTTAAATCTGGAGCGATATTATAATATTATTTTTGAACCATAATAATATTAAGATATAACTTCTTCTAATGTAAGATTTAACATGTTCATATAACTGCAAATCAGATGTGTTATTGTTTATTTCTAAATAGAAACCAATAAAAGTGTTTACTTTTGTTTGATTATTAGTTCCTAATATAGTAAAACATCAAAAATTGCAAAAAAGAAAAATAAGAAATTTTTCTCGACAAATATTATCATTAACGGTCGAAGAATGAAACACACAGTAAAATGTAAAGACAAAAATTGGTAAATACTGAAAATGATATTTTCTCATTGTTGCTTTTCTGAATAGATTTTAAAGTATTCTAACTTTTACCTTGTTTTTAAAATATAACTTTTTAGCTTATACACTGATTGTATTGTTTTAATTTTTAATCAATATTTTTTTAATATATTAAATAAAAGTTTTTGTACAAACTCTTTAAAACTCCTAATTCCAAAACACAATTTTTAGGATTATTTCTTCACTTAAATAACATTGAAAAACTCACAATAATATGTAAATATATATTTTTATTTTTAATTATGTGATTTTTATTTTTATTCACTTTTATATATTATTTATTTATGTGCAAACTTTATAACACATTATTATTTTTTATATTTGGTATATAATCACTGCAAATGTATAAATAATATTGTATTTTATAATCGTTTTTCGTTTTTATTATTGTAATCGTTTAAAATATGTTTTTATATTGATAAATTTATTTTCATTCTTTGTTTTGTCATGTTTTCGTTTTTAAATTATTTTTAAAGCAAACCGACGAATGGTATCTTTCCTGCACGACAGCAAGTTATGCAGGAAAGTCACTGTTGCAGGTTTCATGCGCCTGTGAAGTTGCTATCCACAGGGAAAGCTTCCATTTAGGAACCAAGTTCGCGAAATTAAAAAAAAACTCGAAAAAACCACTTTAAATTTAAATGAAGAATATGTTAAAATAATAAGGGGAGGGCTTACAAAAAGCGAATTTTTCTAATAGAAAAAACGTTAAGGAATTAAAACTGCCTAACGTCAGTTATTTTCCTCTGTTAATTTTTACTGATATAATAGTCTAATAAACAAGTAATCCTTACCGCATTGCCATGGTGATTGTTTGCAATGTGATTATTTACTTCAGATTGAGTGATTCCGATTATTTCCTCATCATTGAAAACCGCAGTCTCTAAATCCATGCTGTTTTTAGCGACTTCTTTCTTTGGCAAAATTCCTGTAAGCATTTCTAAATGTTCCAATGCATTGAAATTTCCAACAAATTCACATCTTCCCTGAAATTTAAAAACACAACTTTGCAATTGTTTTTAAATTTTTTAATATATAAACATGCAAGCAGACAAAACTTTTGATTCGAAAATGTATTATGTTTTAACTAATATTTATCGAGTTTATCAGTAACAAATATCTTATTTAGTAATGTTTACAAATGCAAATCCTATTCTGCATTTATTGCCAAGTATAGAAAGTGAATATAATTATTTTTAAACTTACAAGTGTCAACCGTATATGATTCACAATTTTACAAATATTCGTAACGTGTTTAACCTAAAATAACAATCATTCTCTGGAAAATAATCTTTTCTAAAAGAATTTCTTTTTTCATATTATTCATAGATGTCACGATGCAATGTCCATATATAGACTTGTTGTAATGGTTTTTACTAATGCAGTCAAATTTATAATGTTTAATTATTATTGCTTTACTGTCCTATAGTTTCTAAATATATATTTTTTCTACTTGTACATTGATTATTAATAGGACAATTATACTGGTTTTTTTAAGTTTTTACGCAAGAATTAAGTAAAACGTTCTTAAAGAGAATAGACATTCTTTATTGAGCTACATGTAGCTCAATAAAGAATGTCTATTTGTAATTTGTATTTGTAATTTGTATTTGTATTTATAATTGTATTTGTTACTGAGCTACATGTAGCTCAATAAAGAATAGACATTATTTATTGAGCTACCTGAGAATTGACATTCTTTACTGAGCTACATGTAGCTCAATAAAGAATGTCAATTCTCAGGTAGCTCAATAAATAATGTCTATTCTCCTTAAAAACTTTTTACTCAATTCTTGAGTAAAAACATAAAAAAACCAGTATAATTGTCCTATTAATAATTAATGTCCAAGTAGACAAAATATATATTAATTATAATGGTTAGTTTTGTTCTGAACTTCATACCGTTTAAATTCTTGTTTTGTTAAAATAAATTATAATGTTTTCATTACTGTAGAAAATAATTTATAAAAAGAAAACTAGTGAAAAAAATTCAGGTATTCACCTTATTTAACACTAAAATTTTACTCGCAGAATTTAGAAATTGTATTTGATGCGTAACGAGAACGCAAATCTTGTCCTTCAGATATTCCATTATACATCTGAAAATAAACAAAGAATTGGAATATATGAAAATATACAAAAAATATTTTTTAAATATTTACTTTTCGAATATATGTTTTGCTACTGGAACATCAACGGCACTCAGTGGATCATCCAGGAGGAAAATATCGGCATCCACATATAGGGCTCTGGAAAATATAAAAACATAAAATCCCCTTAAAAACGCAAGAAATATTACGTAAGCATTACATCGAATTTACGATTAGTTTTACAGGATGTTATCTTTATCCTAAGTGTTTTCTAATCTTTAGATTAACTTTTGTTTTTCGTGAAACTATGTGAGAGTAACGAAAATTTATTGTTTTCCTAAAAAACTAATAAAGTCATTTTCGTTCCATATTAAATGAGCTTTTCCGTGTGGTATTTTATCAGCTAAAAGAGGGAAGTCAGAATCATATAGGAAAACGAACACGATTCCCCTACTATTAGGTGTCAAAGTAACCAATCAGAAATAACATTATCTTATCTTACAGATAATTTTTATTTACTTTTAATTTTACATTATTTTCAATTCTCATAACACCCTGCTCTGTAACGGTGACAGGAATGTTCCTCGGAAAATTAACAAAAACATTCCTAAGCAGTGAAACGAAATACCGCATTAAAACAAAAAGTCTAATTTGAGTTTAAGGCATCATAAATTTTGAATCCGAAACGATAAATTTATAAATTTTTGTGTTAACAATTATGTCGTTCCACATGCTCAGATGCAAAATGTGTGAGGATTACGGACATTCATGAATGAATTAGGAAAATTGTACCAAAATAAAGCGAATCACTCTACAAAAAATGATGGTGAGCATTTTAACGATATAATAGCAAATCAACCATATATCATTTTTTAAAAAACTTTTAAATATCAGTATAGATAAAGGATGTTTAGGAAGTGAACCATATTTACTCCCTGCTTGTGCTAGAGTAAAATAAAAATCGATACGTATAATTTTTCACAAAATAGTGAAAGGTTAATTTTCTTAATATTGGTCCTATAGTGAATATTAATAGTACTCAGGTCATTTAAGCAATGAAAACTCTGAGTTTTCATCGCTTAGATGACCTGGGTTCCAGAAATATTTTTTGATGAAATTCGCCGGGTAAAAAAAATCAGAATAAACTAGTGATGTAACGAATATTCGGTTACTATTCGGTATTCGGCCTATTTTTCGCTATTTGGCCGAATACCGAATACCTAATACCTAAAAACAGGAGTAAGAATTAACAAAAACACAGTAAATTAATCATTTAGATTTAGATTTAATGTTATCAAGTTAGTGTTGTTTGTTTATATTTATTTATAACTTATAACATGCCCAAAATAAAAAAATTATATTAGTCGCATGTATTCACAATTTATAATTATAAAGATCAGCACACAAACACACCTATTCGTTGGAGAATCTTCGCACATCTGACGGTCTGACCCTGCCTATTCTTTTTAAGCGCTCGTCTTTGCTCTTTTCCTTCTCTTTCCTCCATCTCTCTAGTTTACCTATGCCTATGCATACACTATAATACGCCCTCACGATACTTACGATTCGTCACTTTTCCGTCGTTTTCCATTTTACAATTACGTGACTCATATCCTGGTAATAACGGAGAAAAGAGACAGATAAGACGTCGGTGTATGTCACAGTTATAATTTCACAGATTCGAGACAGCTTGGTAGCCCGAACGGTCCCAGTCTTTCGCCCGTGCATGCTAAGCGACTTTCATTACAAGCATTCAGCTTTCCGAAGTGTATGACAACAATTGTTTGGCATTTACGTCCGCTAATTTCGCGCCAATAAGCTGCCTGACTTTGTTTCATTATGTTATGAACTCAATTTCATATTTATTTTCACATTTTCACTTTGCGGTCCTTCTCTGTTCTTTTTCCGTTATTTACACGTGTGGGTCATTTCATTGTTATGCACATTTGATATCATCATTTATCACATACTGCCATGACGCTCTTGTCTGTCCGCTACAATTGTTAGTTGTAGCGGACAGACATGAGCGTCATAGACCAGATGATGATGGTGTCATACGCTTCGCCAATCGCGTTAATTCTTGTTAGGAATTAACGCGATTGGCGAAGCGTATGACATCATCATCATCATCATCATCCATCTGGTTTATTAACGTAATATTAAAATTACATATTCGGGTACCGCAATAAGCACAGCCTGATTAAAATTGTTCACAAAATTACAAAGTTATGTTTTGAATACATCCAAGAATTAGTAAAATAAATTAAGTTACAAATAATAAAATTCAAAATATTACAACACAGTACATAAAACTATATACAAGAAATGCAATGCATAAAATTAAATACAAGACAAACATTAAAACACATTGGTGTAACCTGAGTAAATACCTCACTGAATATATGATAAATTCTATACTACCAAAGTTACCTCGCATTCTTCAATTTGTAATCAAACAATTATGTTATGTAAGGTCAACTCTATTTAAGTATTTTATCTTTTCTTCAAGATATGTAGAACACATTTTGTCCATTGTATTGTGATTATGTTCTTGTTTGTTTTTCCTCAGGCAATTTGCACATTTTGGTGTTTCATGTTTTTTGGTACAGTCTTTAAACAAGTAGTTTTCATTACAATGGCTATATATGTTCTCAGATGCAGGGCAATTTCTCGCTATGTGTCCAAACGACAAACTTCGAAAACATTGCAGTATTGGAATATAATCATATGCACTATAAGTTGACCACCTTATATAAACTTTTTTCCTTTAAGAATTGTTTTTCTTATATCAGAAAACACTTCTATCACCCAGGAAACATATTCATCACTTTTTTGTTTTAAGGAGAATCTAACTTTAATCTGTTCAGCATATATGCAAAAAGACAAATGTTCACATAAATGTGTATTCTGTTCATATATATCTTCAGTAAGTTCTTCGCTAACAATTGAAGGAACGGACACTATTTTGATTAAAGGCAATCTCTTTTTAGGCATGTGGGATGTTAAACCCGGGATCTGTCTACAAACTCTTTGAAGTGCACAGCATTCTTTTGATAACTTAAATCAACAGCAACTCCACCATTATTTATTTTTCAAACACGTTTTATTCTAACTCCAATATTGTGAGGCTCTACATTTTGAAGTAAGTTGTTTTTTGTCTGCTCAGATGTTGAATTCTCATCATTGCTGTACACTAAGACTGTATGTGCTAATTCAGGCGGAGCTTTAACAATATTAGACAATATATTACCTTGTTTTAATGCATCTGTATAACTAGGATACGTAGCATTTCTTTCAATTGTGTGTACATCAGATGGTTGCTTTCCGAAATTATTCACTTTCTGAAGAATATCTTTCAGAATATTAATTGATTCTTTATCCTGGGAACCCTGAATCTCTTTAATATCCTCCTTAGTTGGTATAACAGAAAATCTTTGATCCAAGCTTTCAAACATTCTTTGTTACTCAAAGACCGTTTCAGCGTGTTCAATCACTCTGTTAAACTGTGTCAAGATATAAGTCAAATGACACTCCACCCCAAGTCTACTCCTAGGGTTACACTGTGAATAATTCTTTATTTCATCAAGAATGCTGTTAGCAAAATCATGAAATAATTTTCTCTCCAATTCCATATCAAACAAAGATGAAATAAGATGTTTATTTAATTAATTCAGAATGTTTGGTTTAAAACTATTCTAAAGTAAAATATTAATTCAATTAACTTGAAAACATTTGTATCGTGTACTTAGGCTCGAGAAGATTATAAAACTATATACAGTAGACCCCCCTATAATTACGGTTCCTATAATTACGATTCCTATAAAACTGCGAAAAAATTGCGACGGTATCCGTAAAAAAAAGGTAAAAAACTCCTATAATTACGTAAAACATCATTGCGCAGCCGAACTAATTTCCGCGACGTCAAGCGCCACGCTACAGAGAAATTACTATCGTCTGTACAGTATTATATATAAATTATATATAAATTAGGTACTGTATATATAATTATATATTAACTTAATTTATTGTAACTTTATTATAATTATATATATATATTTTCCTCCGCGTAGCGCCACGCTATGGAGAGTTTCAGCTAACTATCGTCTGTACAGTATGTAAATTAGGTGCCGTAAGTCTAATACAGTACTGTAATTTTATACATTTCTTGTGAAAGAACATTTCTTATTCAACGGCGATTAAAATTATTTATACTAATAATGTCTCCAAAGTTCAACGAAGTTTTCGCAGAAAAATAAGTTATTAGAAATCGGCCGCTGTTTGCTGAGCTGTTCGGGGATTCGATTCGGATTTGAAGCAATCAGCAGTGGATATTTCAGCTCTGTTTTAGAATTGTGTTCTTATGTGAATAAGTTATCGGAAGTATATAAAGTTATATATTTTTGAAAATCAGAATATGCCAAGATTGCTACGGTGTCACTTTTATCAAGATCGGATGATTTGGTGAGGAGATATCACAATTCGAACGTTATTGGATTAAAGTGATTATGCATCCGGAAAAATATGATCGATCAACAGGACTGCTCGACGGGGTTGTGTTCGCAACTACACCGTGAGTACTCCATATAAATTTCATATTTGGGAAGTTACAGCCGACTTCCGGTCAAATTTTGGTGTCTCGGTACGGCTTTCCGGTTGCATATTTTCGAACAATATTTGGGTGTTTCTTTCGGACGAACAAACGTTACTTATATACCAAATTTCGTGTTAATACCCTTAATAACTTTTGAAATATCGCAATTCTACTGAATTTGCTAAATCAACATTTACATGTTCCATTTCTGTTGCCATGGAAAGGTCATTGACCTCTAGATCTAAGAAGTTGCATAAGGTAGTGAATTAATGGTGTTTTATACAGAAGAAAATATATTATGTATGTAATATTATATATTTTTGGAAATGGCAGCAAACAAGGAAGAAGAATATCAAACTATTTGCATTCGAAGTATTTATGCTGAACTGTTAACATTGTTGTTCTGAGTTGGATTGATTATAATAATTGGAATCAAGTGTTTAAATATTTAATTTAAGTTATAATTATTTAGTGTATAATATTGATATATTGCAGTATATATGTATATACTATAAGAATATTACTGACTAATTTTAATTAATTGACTGATACTTATATTATATTTGTG